GAGAACTGATATTGTTGATGGATCTGATTGAAGTGTTTAAGATTGTTAAGGGAACTGATATTGTTGATGGATCTGAATTAGGTGTTTAAAATTAAGAGAACTGATATTGTTGATGGATCTGATTGAAGTGTTTAAGATTGTTAAAAGAACTGCTATTGTTGATGGATCTGATTGAAGTGTTTAAGATTAAGGGAAATGATAGTGTTGATTCCTAGTCATCTTTTTGTACTTAACTTTGAGAATTGTAAGACTAGCAGACACAGATATATATTTTGGCAGAGTAAGGGTCTTCTTCAGCTTAGATAGCTTTACTTTCCTGACAAAATAGTTGGTCTGTAGAATGGGTTGCTTTCAGATGTGGTGGATGTAAATATTTAAGGGAGGCCTTGATAAATATACAAGTACACAAGACTAGACTTGAATTTCTTTGTTGTATTTTTAAGTGTCCAACACAGGGATCCTGAGTCACTGGGAGAGGCAGTAGAATTGTCTAAAATAAAAATATGTTCACCTTATTTAAGTTTCTAGTGTTCTTTACTAGAAATTGATAAATAAGTTTGAAGAAATAAAAATACAAAATAATTCTTTTTAGTTGCTGAAAAATTAATAGCAATAGTGTGAAGCAATGTAGAGGTGAGAAACATATCTTTGTCATCACTAGCATAAAAAAGATGACCTTAAATTCCCTTTTTTTACTTGTATCACCTTACAGAAGGTTTTTTAAAGTTATGTTTACCAAATATCAATATTTCTGATTTTATAGCCATTGGAATTTTTTGAAGCCTAATTTTGTATTTATTTTGCCATTTCTGTTGAAACCATTCAAATGAAAAATGACATCTGTTAAATAAATTCCTCAGCCCTTTCTTTCATTGATTCATTTTATGTTAGAATTAACTAATTATGACACAAATGTACTTCTAAATATTCTGAAAACCATTGATACATTTCAACAGTGTAATGATTTTATTCTTTCAAATTTCAATGTTAGGTTTGTTTCTCTTCTCCAGATGATGCAAGAAGACCGAGCGTTGTTTAAAGCTGCCGATTTGAATGGTGATGGTATCTTGGACAAAAGTGAATTTTCTGCCTTTGCCAATCCAGAAGAATTTGTACACATGCATCAGGTATTTTTTTGTTTTAGCATTGTACGTAGAATACATATTAATCCTTTACATTGTCTTAAAAGACATACTGTTGAAGTTTTAGAAACATTTTAATAGAGCTACATCCAAAATACACAAATCTGTAATGTTGTTATTCAAGACATATGAAAATTCCAGAAACTTCTTTTTTTGTACAAAAAAAACATTAACTTTATTATCTACTTTTGTAGATAACACATTTTGTTTCTGTTATTTCATTCGTGATTTTGTCAATGGGTGTCACGGGAAATAACAGTTAATGTGGTTTCTCATTGATTTTCTCAATGGCCGTTGTTTATTGCGAGTCATATCCAGGTCAACAAAGTAAGCATATTGTTGTGGCAAAAGAAGTGAACCACAAACCTTTGAATTCACAGTCTGGCATCTTAAAAATAATAAAAAATACATTCTTCTTAAACTTAAATCTGCATCTTTTTTTGTCAGGTCCTGTATGAACAGACGATGGTAAAACGAGACAAAAACAAAGACGGTTATTTATCACTGGAAGAATTTCTCAGCGACGGATCTGGTAAACCTCCGGCTGTTGGATCAGAAAGCTATTTAGTTGAAAAGGATCACTTTGAGAACGAGTATGATGTCAATCATGATGGGAAACTTGAAAAAGCAGAAGTTTTGAAGTGGCTCTTGCCAGACAATGAGTAAGTTTTACAAACATTATCCATTATCTCTCAAACCATTGGATAACACGTTTATTGGGATGTGCTGATTGCTTAATGCAAGACACAAGACAATTGTGGAGAAGATAAGTATTAGTTTTCTCAGTGCTTTCTTGGACTTAGAATTTCGGACAGGTATTTTTACAAAGGTATAAGTTGTAGAGATATAACAAATAATGTTGATGGTGAATATCTGATTAAGTTCTTTGACTGCTGAATAGTTGATATATTTATCTGAACATTAGTTTAACAGGACGTTGGAAACTATGCAACACAAGAGAAAATATAAAAGAACGGTATGAAACTTTGAAAAGTAAACAAATGACATGCTGAATATGATGCAATAACCATGTTTTAACAAAGAATCACAGAATAATTACTTGATTAATACTCTCATTGTAATTGGTTCTGTCTAGTGCCTACAACTTCCAATAATATTTTTCTACACAACAATAGAATTTTGTGGACATTCTAGGCCAATGATTCTTTAAACTTAAACCTTTAAAAATATGTTTTACGGGTTTTGTCTTAGCAATTGTGAGTTTGTTTTGTTTTTAACTTCACACAAAGCTACGTGAAGACCATCTGCACTAGCCATCCCTAAGTCAGCAGTGATAGACTAGAGGGAAGGCAACTAGTCAATACTACCCCCCACAGTCGAAAGGGCTAGCACGTTCTGTGACAGGAATTCGAACCTGGAAACTACAGATTGCGAGTTGAACACCCGATGCAGCAATAATCAGTAAACAAGATGCACAGACCTGTCATTTGCAGTGTACACACTGAATTCTGTGTGGAATTACTTTAAAGTAGTTAGTGCTTTTAACATGAAGGTAAAGGGAAAGCATTTTTAACTACCAAATCCATAAGTCCCTGAAAAATTAGCATGGTAAAGGTGATAATGTGGCCTCAAGCTCTAGGGTGTTTTATCAAACAACAAATCATTCACAAGTGTTAACACATAAATGAAACTATTCAAAATTAATGTGCTAACAAGTTACACTCTGCAATCAGTGAAGTATTGTACTGGATAACTATATTTAGTTATTACTGATGAACGGTTTGTTCACCTGATGACGAAAAAAAAGCACAACCATAACATAGGTTACTAATTAAAGCTTAGTTTGTCTAAAACAACTTGTACCAGAGACAGATATATGAAAGATGCAAGACTACAGTTGCTGCTGGAGATTTCTCAATATCAAATTACTGGTTATTTCATTAGTTGAACAGGGAACTGGATCATAAAATATATGGATTTACAACATTCTGCTCCTACCCTATGCATATGGGAGGGTCAAAGTGACTTTTATGCATGTGATGCATCT